ACCCGTCATTCGGGATGGGCCCAGACAGCAACCAATCCCCAGATCCGCATGACCCACCAGGCGACGCCAAACGGTCGCGTGCATGCGAGCCATGCCGACAGCTGAAAGTGCGCTGCGACCCAGACCCGGCGCACCCGGAAGGGTCATGCAAGCGGTGCGCGAAAGCGCGGCGCACGTGTGTTGTAACCGCGCCTACGCGCAAGCGGCAGAAAAAGACCGACAGTCGGGTGGCGGAGTTAGAGCGGAAGATCGATGCTCTGACGGCGACGCTGCAGGCATCAAATTCCACTAGTGCGCTGTTCTCTGGTGGAGCGGGGCAGCGGGATGAGCAGCTTGCTGGTCGGAGGTGGATAGCTGGGAGCAAACGACAGCATACCGGCGAACTTAAGGATCCCTCTGCTGGGCTGCTAGCGCCGCGGTATTCGCGGCCGGGTAGTCCATCTGCGGAGCAGATTCCTAGCCATGCATCGAAGCATTGGCGCAGACCTGTTGGTGTTGATTCTGCGCCGCCGCCGCCAAAACATGAGGCCGGGAATGAGTTTGCTGATATGATCGACCGCGGGATTATAGATTACAAGACTGCCAGTGCGGCGTTTGACCGGTATATCCACCAGATGGCGCCAGAGCTGCCTTTTGTTGTTTTTCCGCCGGGGACTACGATGGGCGAGGTTCGCCGTAATAAGCCTTATTTGTTCCTTGCAATCATCGCGGCTGCCGTTGCCGTCTTTAATTCTGACGCACAGCCGATCCTCGTGAATGAGACATATCGTCTGATCGCCGAGCAGGTTGTTGTCAAAGGCCAAAAGTCGCTTGAGCTGGTTCAGACTATAATGGTCTGTTCTATCTGGTATCTCCCACCAGATAACTTCGACGAGATCAAGTTCTATTCTTTGACCCATATGGCTGTGGTCATGGCAATGGAACTTGGATTAAACCGTCGCGTTTCCGATAACAGACGCAGCTTCAGCGTGATCCGCGAACTGATCATTAAAAAGCCGACGGGTCCGGCATTTGATCCAAAAGGGCCGGAGGCAAGGCGAACTTGGGTTGGCTGTTATTTCTTATCTGTCCAGTGTGTTTCAATCCGGGTTGTTCTGGTATGGAGATCGCAAGCTAACTTTGGCAGGATGTCGGCGGCTCTGAGAAGAGTACACTTGGTCACCTGGCAGCCGTATATGGACGAGTGCCTTCAGATTTTAGAAACCCACCCGGATGCCCTACCCTCCGATCGAAACTTGAAATGGTGGATAAAGCTGGGATCGATCATGGAGGATGCTGGAAATCTCTTCTCTGAGGAGGATCCTGGGTGCATTACCACCTTCGCGGACAGCAAGGTTTGGTATAATATAAAAATGTTTGAGGATAGATTGGCACAATGGAGAGAGGAGGTCCCACGAGACGTTTACACTGGTACGCGCTGGTCTTGAGAACATTCTTTAATATCCTGCTGACATCCTTCTAGAGCCAATGGTTCACGCAGAGCATGTCCTGAATCTCTTCGTCCATGGATCTGCAATGTGTGTGGACTATAACACGGCCAAAAACTCTCCATCTCAGGATGATTTGCATAACTCATCGGTTGCGATCGATGCGTTGAGCACGGCCATCCGCTGCATTCACGAAAGTCTGGATGTCATTTGCACCATTAATATTGACCGACTTATATCCTTGCCTACTACGTCCTTAGCGCGGACATCGTATCCCGTGGTGAGTTTGATAAAAATATACTCACTGTTCATGTCACCGGACAGTCAAATTGGTCAGATTCTCGATGTGCAGAGTCTCAAACTCGATTATTATTTGGACAAAGTCATCGCGCATTACCGTGCCGCCGCTGCGCGCGATGGTGGCCGTGCAGCAGCGAGATTTGGAAACATAATGGTTCTGTTGCGCAATTGGTTTATCAAGAAGCGCGACCAGGGAGATCATGGCCGGGAATTGAAAGAGGTCTTTTCGAATGATCAGAAATCCTCCGATCACCGACAGGCACATCATAACCCTGATACCTCGAACACGGTATCTATCAATCCAAGAGCGCAGATAGCACCGGGCATGACACCCCTCCATTTCCTCAGCGAAGTAGCCATGGGCGACCCAGCGCACCGAGCGAACAACTCCAACTCCCAACGCTCAATAGCCGGACAATCTTATTCCTCAACCCACAGTCCAAGCTCAACAGTCAACCCAATGCCAACGCCAGGCTCATCCAGTTTCGTGCCAGATCCGCCCCAAACCAGCTGGTCATCTAGCTCATCATACCCAACCACTCTCCCAAGCTCAGACTCGAACCATATAGAGACGAGGGGTTACTACCAACCCTATCCATCCACCGAAATCACACAGAATTATCCAGAATTACCGTCGAGTACCCAGACTCAGGGATACCCAGACATGTCCACCGTGGCTGGGGTGCAGCTTGCTCCTCCGATGGGAATGGCACCCGAGGTAGGCATGGACCCGAATTTCGGTGATCCTTGGTTTACGTTAGGGAATATGATGGATGAGGGATTGTTTACATTCCCTCTTTCTTTTGACGGGAATTTCGGATTGTTTTAGTCGGCTTGTTGTGATGTTCTGTCTCTTTTGCTCATTATACCCGTTGCTGTTTCGAATGTATATCAATTTCACTCATCGCAAGATGCATCATCTTCGAGGGATAGGCTCGGAAGGAAGCCATGCCTTTTCGCATTCAGTCACTCTCATAAGGGGGGAACACCAAATCTAACTGGGATTAGTGAATTACAAGGAACACTTCATCTAGGCAGTAAGAGTAAGGCTCATTCCTTAGGAATAGTCTAGTGAACAGTATAATGGCAACCAATTATTTTCTCTGTTGTACTGAGAACGCGTTCTCGGCTACGGAGATTTACACCCCCCATGTATTCCGTGGGACTCGTCAAATGGAAATGAGAGCCACGACTTTAGGAACGGCTTGATGTTTGATGCAGACCTACATGGACCTCATACATATGGTAATGTCATGGTCCCTGTGGCAGGTGAAGCAGCATGTGCTACAGGACCCTCTGCCTGCGCTGTCTCGTGGGGGCTACGGTGAGATGGTGGTCAGAGGGATGGGGAGAGGAGAAGAGGAAGAGAAGAGGAGAAATGGGGGGAGGTCCTTATATACCCCAAATCCATGTGCCTTCCTAAAGTGCGACAGTTCCCTCGCACTTTCCCTGTCGATGTCAATGTCACATGTCACCCACGTGGACGACCCGATATAAACATCCCAGGTTATATCGACATCAACCTCCCATTGAAATTCATACGTCTCGGAGAATTGCATTCTCCGCAGCTCCGTACACTTTCACAGCACAGCTTCGCAATCAAGATCTACTATACACCCCACATTCCAAACCAGAGCAATAATATCCGAGAAGAGCATATGCTGTTCGTGGCCTGCGGTCAATTTGACCTGCCTTCAGCAAAATGGCCCCTCATGACCCCAACCGTGTCGCTAGCATCATGCTCTCATGGCGCTCGCTCGAGCTCATCTCGTGCACCAACATACAAACCCTATGGGCCGGCTATGGACAAATATGCGCTATTACAGCGCGAGCCACCACTTCCCAAGCAGCCGAACATCTCAGCAAGCTGTGCGGGGTAGAGCCAGGCGTTGTGGGGACGACGTATCCCCTCATCCTGAAACTCATCTCACCGCCCCGAAAAAGCGCCAGCACTGCAGACGAGGGCCATCTACGAAAAATGCTGAGCTATGAGGTGGAACAGTACTTCTATAGCGAAGTAGTCCCTCAGCTGAGCTCCAACATAGCCATAGCCAAATGCGTTGCCTCGACGCGCGACATGGACCACTCGGCAGACTCGTCGGAACTCAGCGGTCTTATGGCTACGATCATGGTTGATCTGCGTCCTGAGTTCCCCGTCGCGGGTGAGAAGAGAGGTGCACTGAACCGCGCACAGGTTCGCGCAGCGCTAGACTGGCTAGCTGGATTCCACGGCTGCTCAAGGAAACTACTGCCATCTAGTCTTGACGGATATATTCTGCCGCCACTTGAAGAACGCAATAGAAGGCAGAGACAGAGCCCAGACAAGGATGTTGGTAGCGGGCTGTGGCTGAATGGGGGATATACGTACCTCGCAACGCGACGTAAAGAGTACGCATCTCTTGCGCAGGACACGGACTCGGAGTGGTCAGATGCGCTGTGCGGGGTTTCGGAAGCGTGCTCACTATCCGTGGCGGAGATGGTTGCGTTGTTCCTAACGCCCTGCGGGAGGGCAATTGAGTCTTATATTCATGGCGATGTCAAGTCGGAAAATCTCTTCACGACCACTAATGGAGACAAGGTGGCCTTCTTTGACTTCCAGTATGTCGGGCTCGGTTTGGGAGTCTGTGACCTTGCCAAATTGTTTACCTGCTCGGTCCCGCTGCATATGCTAGTTGATGGCAATGGGAGTTTGCCCGCACAGCTGTCAATGTGTGATGCCGAAAGGGCACTGCTAGAGCGGTATCGTATGAGTCTCCTCCAGGATGAGGAGTCAGAGGAGTCGGAGCTATACGAATGGGAAGCATTCAAACGGCACTGGGAAACAGCTTTGGTTGACTGGTGTAGATTCCAGGCATCATGGGGATTTTGGGGGAATACGGAGTGGCTTGAGGCTCGTGTAAGATCAATCTTGAATGACCAGGAATGGAGAGACTGGCTGTATCAGAGTATCAGTGGTCGAGTGTAGGATCGTTATTCATCTTTACATTTAAAAGAAATACACCGTGAATATATCTTCAACTACAGCTTTTGAATAGTGAAAATGGGGTATATCAGCGGGTATTTGACTTGCCTACTTACCAATTGTTCGTATAACTTTATCATATCTTGCTTGATGATGAATTAGAGATAGGTCCTGTTTCTGATGCTGTCGCAGAATGAATATGTAGTATGATCAGATTGGTGGAGCTGCCTGAGCCTCACAGCACGATCAGCGCCTAAGAACAATTCTAATTGGTCTATATCATATTATATGTAAATAAACTGGGTATATAACTATATCGGCCTCCACGCTTGCATGACCTGGTTGCGCATATATCCCCACGGCCAGCCGTTTTCCCTTTCAGTTCGACGAAGGAGGTCAATCAGCAAAGTCTGTACAACAGGGTCTTCCACCCATGAGCCGCCTGTAGGCATATTAGTAAACTCCCCCTCGTAGAATGCGAACAGAACATACAGGCAAAAAGTGCGTGACAAGCCGTGATACGCAGTGAAGGATCGTCGTCGGCAGATGTGGCGATGCCGAACATGAAATTAAGTGTTTCGGCCAGATCATGCTGTCGGGGTCAGCATAAAATCGAGGTATTTCAGGGCGGAAGACAAACCCTTAACTTGACAGGCTGCTCTAAATGCAACATGCTCCGATCATAAAACTCAAGTTCGCGAATGAGCACCAACGATTTAGTGAGACAGATGTGCTGGACCGCAGTAGCTAGATCCAAATTAGCACCTCATCCCCGACGCAGGCTTATATCACATACCATGCCACAGGCTCGTATACCACGCAACAGGAAAAGGTTTCCCATTCCCAGGATCCGCCGGCGAGATATGCAACGGCACAAACGTATCCGGTCGACCAAGCTCCCACTCAAGAATGCGGTGCCTGAGCGCAGCCTCCCCCGCACTCCCGAGTCTACCGTCATGGCTTCGGCCGGAGATATTATAACAGAAATCGATAGTCTCGGCCAATAGCCAGATTGCCCGGTTTGTCCAGTCTCCGTCGCTCAGGGCAGGTTTGGCGGCCCACCATCGTCGCAGGCGGTCATCGAACGGCGCGAATGTTAAGCGGAGGCATTTCTGGTACGTGAGCGCGAATTGAATATCTTGAATGACATAGGCCCAGAAAGAAGCCGATGCCAGTCCGCCCGAGATAGCTGAGTCCACGTGGGAGCTGATGTATACCGAACCGGCCAGAAGATGGTGTTGTTGGTCGTTTGGGGGACTATGGGCTGTTGAGTGCATTAGCCGGGGGTAATTATTTTGCGTTGAAGATTGGTGGTCCACGCACAGGAGATTGATTCGAAGAATCGTAGAATGACGGTTGACGAGAGGAGGATGTCGATTCCGATTTCGAACTCGGGCTTGTCGAGGACCGGCAACATTATTGAGATACAGCGCTCATGATATCCGTGTGCGACATCGCCGGCGATGGAGTTTGTTGTTCGGGATAGGTGACATGCTGAGACTGCGAGACAAGCATACAGTAGTAATGGGGATTGGGTCGCGCGCTCGATGACATCTGTTGAGAAGTGTCGTTCGGGATTGAATGCATCGAGCTGGGCTGTTAGTGGAAAGGCGGCGAATTTGATAACAGACCAACTTACCCACGGCGCCAGGTACTTTTGAAAATGTCGCAACAGAAAGGCTTCAGTGACATTGGATAGCCTCGGGTGGCCAATGGGCGTGGGCGTGGTGGTCGCACGTGACGAATTCCCAGAATTCGATCTAGAGCCCAATTGAGATCCTGCAAAAGCAGGAAGGACGAGGGTTGGAGTTGCCAATGAATAATCCATCGTCGATGGAGGCGTGGAATTTTCAGACGATGACCGTGAAGTCGACGCCTGCCTTGTCACAGGTACAACATAGTATTCCGCTGCCGTCTGATCTGTTTCGTCCTTGAAGTGGACTACAAGAAATCAGTATAGGAAACAGACACGGAGCACATTCCACATACAGCTGGAGGACGTTTCAACCCAGACCTGGTCGTCCGGGAAAGCAAGATCACTCTCGCCATATCTCGGAGGCCCCTTTCGCAAGGATGGGTTCTGGCCGTGTCGGAAAGAGATCTCTTCAGATTTGCCGGGGGCCGGCACACATTCGCGACCAGAGCGTTGACAGCGGAGACATTTCGAACCGGATTTGTCACCTAATTCTGTTAGTGCCGAGAGCAGAGATTTGGAGCAGGCAACGTACATTTCAGATGGCGCAGACGACATGTGAGGCTGAAACGACGGGTTAGTCGAGGTCGAGTACGCGTAACGAATCACAAGAACTGACCATCCCCTCATTACGCAGTCAAAAGTACAATCGCAAACAAGGAAATCTTCCAGAAAGCATATTTGGAATACCAGGCCCGAGGGTGAGATATGTAAATAGGGTAAGTCGGCCAGTCCGACTATCAAACTCAACCATGATGTCTATTGGGAGACTAACCAACGCCCACCCAGGCGAGATGGTGTGGGGACCGAAAATTTGGCAGATCACTAACGGATTGCGTATTATTTTTGGGGTTTACCAGCGGCTACGTTTTAATTGGAGATTAGTTCGAGGAGCGTAGAGCTAACAGTGGTTGAAATGTCGAATAGCGGGTTTCAAATGTACTGGAAATTAGCTCAAACCATATCCCGAATGTGGAAACGTTCAATATCCGAGCTCATCACGGGTCTAAAAAAGGTCCAATTTCCACGGGAGTCTAGGCAGACTGGCGTTGGTCGTGGTTGGGTGGCTGGCTCCCCCACATATCAGACTAAGTTTCATCGAAAAGATTCTGATCGTTTACCTAAGAAAAGATCCTGTGACATGTCATGGAAGTTCCGGAATCGGGTTCTCGGCATGATAGTTGGCCGAGACATTGGAAGTTGGACTCGGTACGGAGGAGTGTACGGAGGAGTTTGACCGGGCCTGTGTTTATCCTCTTTGCCTCTTTTCCTTTTGCCTCTTGCCGTCAATTGTGTCTGCAATGTAGAGAACCTATTCTTAAAGACCCCCTCAGAAGGTGTCCGGACATAAATCGGTATAAATCCGGGGCTGATTGTCAGGTCAGAACTTAAAACCTTTCAAGATAAAAAGACACAAGCGTTCGACAAGCAACGGGAACGAAATTAGAAACGAAAATAAGAACGAGGTTAGTGTTGAAGTCGTTCGGGGTCTCCTTTGCCGATTGGCCTCACCAGTCCTGGTTCAGGCACCGTACGGTCCAGCCACATGGTACGGGAGGACCTACATGGATCACTCACAGGGACCTTCTCATACCATGACAAGGTGCGCCGGCAATCTCCGTGTGAGGTAGGAGTACCAGGCCTTGATCAATCCTGGTTGTCGGTGGATCTTCGATGAAAATGAGATTTTAATTCCAAACCCGTGGAAACCCTGTCGATCTCAGAGGCACTTCAATATGTTGTACGCCGAACAGAGCTATAAAGTTAAAAACGGTCCAAACACCAAACAAATGGGATTTGCATATGTGGGGGGCTTTCTGTTACCAGCTGCCTCTTTCGGCCAAATGCTCCGGGGCGAAAAGCCACTTGCATTATTCATCATTTGATCAGCACCAGAATTTTCAATCCACGGTTGAATTGGAGCAGGAACAGGAGAATGAACTGTGTGGGGAGAGGAAGAGAGACCAGAGAGAGAGGAAGGAGAGTCATGTGGTGCCTGAAATTTATGCCTGAAACTGATACCTCTCAGCCTTGAATCCAAGGCATCAATGCATATCCCAAACCAAGCTATTCCAACTTCGAAGTTTCTTATCTTTGGAGCTCCCTGCTGGTCTCGTAGCCCCTGAAAAGCTTGAATTACACAGCTGTTTCTGTTTACTACTGTGGTGAAACTGAGTCAATCCCAAAATATAATGCCAAATGTCCCTAAATCGCATCTCCTTCCTTGAAGGATGGGAACGCAACCCCGCGGCCATCCTCAGCCACCCTGGATCGGAGGATTCGGACCCCGACTCCTACCAGGATCTGCCCGAGGGATCCATTTCATCTTCATTTCCCTCCACATACAGCAGACTGAATTTCAACCCGTATGCGGGGCCAGGCTGGAATGAAAGCCCAGAGGATCCACACGAGGATCGATCCTCGTTTTTCGGGCCCTCATTTCTGGGTTTGTCTCCGACGACTACCCCCGAAGGACGTGCGGGTCCGGCTCCAGTGCCGGGACTGGGATCTGCTGAGCGGACTGCGCATGATTCAGAGACGACCATTGCTCGCACGCCGCCTTGGGCAGATACTACTGGTGCTTATGAAGTGAGCGCTGCTAGGAGGATTGGTAGGTTGATGGAACTCACATTATACGTCTTTTCATATACAGTGACATGTTAACATATAAAAGCCCAGGTTTGCACGGCAGTTGTATACTGTTTTCTGGCGGCTGGGGTTGTTTTCGGCTTTGCAGCTCTCAAGCCCATCCTTATTCGAGAGAAAGTATATCGCGACCTCTGCTCCCAGGCGGAGCTTGAGAAAGATGTCGATGTATGCTACGGGCAAGAAATTCGGTATGTTTCCCCCGTGGTTGGAGATCACTCTTACTTACACGCAACAGGCTAAACCTGATGTTTACTATCGCCGCTGTAGTAACCAATGTCTCAGCCCTACCTGTAGGCACAATCCTAGACACGTATGGACCACGAGTCAGTGGAATCATCGGCAGTATATGTCTCGCCATAGGAGCAGTACTTTTTGGGACAGCCAACAAGCTTCCATTCGATGGATACATCCCGGGTTACTTATTCCTAGCACTGGGCGGTCCATTCGTCTTCATCCCATCCTTCCATCTATCAAATACATTCCCCAAACGATCAGGCCTGATCCTATCAATGTTGACAGGCGCCTTCGACGCTTCGAGTGCTCTATTCCTCCTTTTCAGGTTGTTAAGCGAACACACGCATGGCATCGTATCAATCGACAATTTCTTCGCCGCATACCTCATCGTACCGGTATTCATCATCGCAGCACAGATCTTGATAATGCCATCAACATCCTACAAAACCGCCGGCGAACTCGTGCAACAAGCCGAAGCACAGGTTGCAGATGAGATGCGCGATCGCATAGATGACACGGTCAATGACCGCAGCGAGCGCGAGCGTCAGCGTATGGACAGACGACTCCGTCGCCAAAGCATCGTCAGCCAGATCCAAGGTCTACTAGATGATGGTACAGCATCCGTAATGTCCGGCAATGGCATCAACGACTCCATCTTCCACACGAACATCGACGTCTCGCTCGACGTAAATACCACCACAGGAGCCCACGACACTCCAACGCCGCCCTCCCAAACGCACCAACAACTAACCGCTCCTCATCCAACACCAGGCGGAATCTGGGGCGTTCTCCACGGCCATAGCGCACTGTACCAACTACGCACACCATGGTTCGCACTAATAACAGCCTTCACTGTTCTAATGATGCTACGCATAAACTACTTCGTCGCAACGCTGCGCTCACAATACACCTACCTGCTCTCGGCCGAGAAAGCAGCACAAATAAACACAACATTCGACATTCTCCTACCAGTCGGCGGACTCGTTTCCGTGCCGTTCATCGGCACATTCCTAGACGTATTCCAGACGCGCACTGTGCTCTTCATCCTTGTCGTGTCGGCGACCGTCATCGGCGTGTTGGGCTGTATACCGCATCCGACCGCGGCCTATGGGAATATCATTCTCTTCGTGCTGTACCGACCGTTCTATTACACTGCTGTATCGGACTACGCGGCTAAGGTGTTTGGGTTTGCGACGTTTGGGAAGGTGTACGGGCTTATTATTTGTCTTGCTGGTGTTGGGAATTTTGCGCAGGCGGGACTTGATGCGCTTACGTTGAGGGTTTGGAGGGGAGATCCTGTGCCTGTTAATGTTGGACTTACGGTGCTGGTTGCTGGGGTTGGCAGTGCACTTGTTGGGTTTGTTGCTTATCAGACGAGTGTTTTGAGTGGGGATAAGGGTGACGGTGAGCATCATCAGGATGTCAGGGAGAGGGAGCCGTTGTTGAGGAATGAAACACCTGGGAGAGTGTATGGAGCTTGATCTTATGGGCTTTATATGACGGAGGCGCCTTGTTTGTATTAAGTATCTAAGAATGATTATGAATGTGAATGTGCTTGGATATGAGGATGGCACATGGGAGATTTGAGGATATTTAGGGAAATCCTACAAGCACTAATACGAGAGGACCATAGCAATGAAGACTGGAATATGAAATCCGGAGACGTGAACATTAGAATGTTATGTATTATATCTCGAATGGTTGCTACCCAAATAGAGATGTACTATATACGGATGTACCCAAACATCCAAAGACGACAATAGGGCGCGAGGAAGCCACCCCCTATGCCAGTGCATATTATAATCCAGATCCAGACACAAAAGCGGATCTATTATATCCAGTGCAATCCAAAAAGGAAGAAAGAGTAGTGCCCGGGCCCGGGAGTGGTGGTGACAGTGTTCGGGTTTCACAGCACGGCGAGTTTAGGCAGGTTTACGCATCATCGATATGCCCAGTAGGTATATCTATGCATGCCCCATGTCCAAGTTAATATCGCTGGTGATTGCGATGGTATAAGCCCAATATTTTTTTGTATGTCCATTTCAAAGAAAATCGAGGATGACAATGATAGTGAAAATGAGATTCGAAGGACAGCGATAGGAAGGCTGGTCTGCGTCATTGCAGCTCACGGCAGATCCGGAGAGGAAGCGCATGTATCCGCGCTTCATGAGGTTCAGAGAGATTCCCAATGATGAATTTGGGCTGCTCATTGGATGACATAGCTATATTTACTAGCGCTCTCCTGCCAGAGATCCTCTGCAGCCCGGTCGCAGGCAGCATCGTACCATAGCATAGTTGCGAGGACGGATTTGATGCTGGCCCATGAATTCAATCCAGTCCTGCGAGTAACATCTCCCAGAGCAGAGGCGAACCAGGCGCGCTCGGGAGCATCGTTCGCTGCGATACCGCCGAGGGTCAGGACCCAGATGAGAGGGACGCGTGTGGATGGTGAACACCACAGCTCCGAGGACGAGGGTTTGAAGAGGACGGCCTGTATAAGGCGCGCCAGGGTATTGAGGGGAGTATTCTGGGCGGGGATTGGGAAGAGAACGCCGACCCCGAAGATTAGTGCCGCTAGACGGCAGGCTTCATAGGTGGCGGCACGCGTGGGATGAGAGAAAAAGGTGGTGATGTCTGAGGCTGGAGAGAGAGAGAGGAGGGTATGTTGGGTCAGGTTACGCTGGTCGGCGAGCAAAGAGGTATCTGGTGTGAAATTCAGGCTCACTTTAATGATCCCGATATAAGTG